TGTTACACTGTTGACTCATATTTAGCTTGTGCTCCACTGTGACCCCCAGAACCCTTTCTGCAGTACTCCTTCCTAGGCAGTCATTTCCCATTTTGTATGTGTACAACTCATTGCTTCTTCTTAATTGGAGGACTGTGTATTTGTCCTTGTTGAATTTAATCCTGTTTACTTCAGACCATTTCTGCAGTTTGTCCAGATCATTTTGAATTTTAATCCTATCCTCCAAAGTACTCGCAACACTTCCCAGCTTGGTATCGTCCGCAAACTTTATAATTGTACTCTCTATGCCATTATCTAAATCATTGATGAAGATATTGAACAGAACTAAACCCAGAACTGATCCCTATGGGTCCACACTCGATAAGCCCTTCCAGCTTGATTGAACCACTGATAACTAGTCTCTGGGAATGGTTTTCCAACCACTTATACACCCACCTTATAGTAGCTTCATGTAGGTTATATTTCCCTAGTTTGTTTATGAGAAGGTCATGTGAGACCATATCAAAAGCCTTACTAAAGTCAAGATTTACCACATTTACTGTTTCCCTCCTATTTACAAAGCTTTCTTTGACAGGGTAACAAGCCATTAGGTTGGTTTGACAAATCTGTGCTGTTACTTATCACCTTATTATCTTCTGGTATTTGCAAATTGATTGCTGTTTGAAAACCATACAGTTAAAGCAATACAACCCCTCTAATGTGGATGTAGTTATATCAATATAACAGTGCTTATATTGGTATAGCTATTCTGCTATGGGAAGGGAAATAAGTTATACCAGGATAAAGCATCTTTATCGGGGTGGGCAAACTTTTTGGTCCAAGGGCCACATCTGGGTGGGGAGATTGCCTGCAGGGCCATGAATGTAGGGCTGGAGCAGGGGGTTGGGGTGCGGGAGGGAGTGCGGGGTGTGGAATGGGGTGCTATGTGCAGGAAGGGGCTCAGGGCAAGGGGTTCAGATGCAGGAGGGGTGCAGGGTATACAAGGGGGCTCAGGGCGGGGGGTTGAGGTGCAGGAGGGAGTGTGGGAGGGGGCTCAGGGCAGGGGGTTGGGGTGCAGGATGTGTCGGGGGCTCAGGGCAAGGGGTTGAGGTGCGGCGGGGGCTCAGGGCAAGGGGTTGGTGTGCAGGAGGGGTGCGGGGTGCAGCAGGGGACTCAGGGCTCAGGGCAGGGGGTTAGAATGCGGGGTGCAGGAGGGGTTTGGGGTGCAGGCTCTGGCCTGGCGCTGCTTAACTGGAGCGGCTCCAGGGTAGCAGCAGCGCGCACCGGGGCCAGGGTAGGCTCCCTGCCTGCTCTGGCCCCACACTGCTCCCGGAAGTGCCCGGCACCATGTCCTTGCGGCTCCTGGGTGGGAGGGGAGGGGAGGGGCAGGGCAGAGGGCTCCGGGCGCTGCCCTCGCCTGCGGGTACCTCCCCCAAAGCTCCCACTGGCCGCGGTTCCCCATTCCCAGCCAATGGGAGCTGCGGGGGCAGTGCCTGCAGGCGAGGGTAGCGCATGGAGCCCGCTGCTACTCCTCCCCCATGGGCTGCAAGGACGTGGTGCCGGCAGCTTCCGGGAGCAGCACAGAGCCCGCGGCGCCACGGGGGTGGCAATCCTGTGTGCCGTAGTTTGCCTACCCCAATCTTTATGCTAATATAACTGTGTTCTCAAAGTAGAGGTTGTACTGGTATAACTATATCAGCAAAAAAAACCCACACACCCCTAACCAAAAGTTAAATGGTTACAAAAGTTATATGTAGACCAGGACTAATGCTCTTGGTCCTGAACCTACAATTATATCTTGTGTGGGCACACACAGAACCCCACTGAAGACAATTGGCCTGCTGTGAACCCAGTTTCAGGCCTGGAGCCCTTGTTTAGGAGCTCAATATAGAATCTTTTTAGAGAGAAATTTCTTCCAGCACTGAATATTAGTTTTGATACTAACAGTATACACCTCTACCCCGATATAACACAGTCCTCGGGAGACAAAAATCTCACTGTGTTATAGGTGAGACCGTGTTATATCAAACTTGCTTTGGCCCCCTTCCTTGTTCCCTGACTGCCCCCTCCAGAGACCCCTGTCCCTAATCACCCCCAGGACCCCACCCCCCCTGCTCCCTGACTGCTCCGACCCCTATCCACACACCCCACCCCTGACAGGCACTCACCGGCAGCGGCGGGAAGAGGAGCAACGTGGCCCCAGCCCGCTCCACTCCGCCACCTCCCAGCCGTGGTGCTCCGCTTCCCACTGCCGGTGAGTGCGGGGAGATTGGGGAAAGGACGCCCTCCGCACTCACCGGCGGCGGGAAGCGGAGCGATGTGGCCCCAGCCGTGTCGCTGGGAGAGGGGGGTTGGGGAAAGGTCCCGCACTCACCTGCGGCGGGAAGCGGAGCGCTGCGGCTGGAAGCTGGTGGAGTGGAGCGGGCCGGGCTGCACCACTTCCGCCGCTGCTGGTGAGTGCGGGAGGGATCCTTTCCCCCAAGCTCCCTCCCCCGAGCAACACGGCTGGGGCCGGGGCGAGGGAAGCGGAGCAGGCTGCTCCCAGCCCCCCGCTAATCCCCTGGGCCACTCTGGGACTGCGGGGCCCCCCAAATTGCCCCCCCCACAGCTCCTGCTTCCTAGACCCCGAGACCCACTGCCCCCGAGCCCCTCTGCTCCTTATCTAACCCTTCAGCCCCAGCCCAGCCCGGCACCCTTAACACGCTGCTCAGAGCAGCATGTCAGAGCTTTACCGCGTTGTATGCGAACCCATCTTATATCGGGTTGCATTATATCGGGGTAGAGGTGTATAGTGCTCTTTGTGTAGTGATCTTAAGTGACTGGCAAAGGGGGAAAATATGGATTAGTGACCCCCCCCTTCCTTTTTTTTTTTTTTTATTGTGTTACTTTATTATGTAGAAGAAGGGCCTGAAGGAGAGTGAGGGGTCAGTTTTGTTTTTTCTTTTTACATTAGAAATTCAGATCTTAACTACCCTATTTTTTCCTTTAAGAATCTCTGGATGACTGGAGAACGAGAAGGTTTATAATAGCAGAGAAGTCATGCAAATGAAACCTGATTAATTGAACAGGAAGTGATTTTTAGTTAGACTGTTTTAAACTTGTGTTTTGTTAACACCTACAATATGCTTGGGAGGAATATGCTCTTTATAAAGATTCAAACAAGCACCCTTCAGCTGAAGGCTGAGAGCTTTAAGTTCATAGTAGCCTCATCTGAGGACTCCTCCAGCTAACGCAGGGAAAATACGATGCAACATTCCTGAAATCTATAACGTTAAAAAAAAAATACAAGAAAAAACAGACTTTCTTTCTACATTATCAAGAAGCAAAAACACACCCATATTTTTCCCTTTGCAGGTCACTTTTAAAGCTCTGTACTTAAGTATTATTCTCCTCTTGCAGATAGGGAAGCAAGCAAGGAGCACTTATGTGACTTGGCTAAGATCATACAACAAGTAGCAAAAAAAGGGAACAGAACTAAGGTTTCCCAGCTCCAAAAGTGCTAGGAAAAGGTTCTCTTTATTTGATTAGCAGACTGGGAACGTTTGGGTGATAGTCATAACACTTACCTCGTGACCCAGACAAGGGTGTGCTTCCTCTGGGGATGTTTCCATTGGTGGGGCTGAAGCCTTTGCAACAGGTGCTGTCACCCAGGGTGCCCCTGATGCTCTGCACTCTTGTTAGAAATAAATTGCTTCCTTTGCTGCTGTGCTGACAAATGGATGCCCTGTAGGTAATTGTCCTCTCCTTGGGAAAACTGCATAACTGGCTCTGCAGGGTTCTGTAGCTTTAAGGACTAACAGTCCATGTGACCTTAACCCTGGGGGATAAAAGGCAACCTCCCTGGCTGACTGCACTTCTGTGCCAGCTGCTAATGGGGAAAAAAGGAACAAGATTCCTGAGAGGTAGAGTGGAGAACAGAGAACAGACAAAGAAATTCTACTGCAGTTTCTTTCTCCCCTAGCCCCCAAATCAGGAGAATTGACTGGGATAATGTATTTGCTCCCATGTTAGATCTGTTTGTTAAGAAACAGCGCCCCTCTCGGAGAATCTTTGTGGAAACAAAACAACTTTTTTGGTTTTGTTCCAAGGCTTTAATGTCTCCAAAGTGTTGATCACAGGCAGTGAACCCTCACCAGCTATCTAATTATTGTAATTACATTAAGCCATACCTTTTCCTTTTATTTAGGTCTAAGTGACTATTGTTAAAGTACACAAAGGTTTCTAGCATACCTCAAAGGCCCATAAGGAATTTTCTCTTTCATAAAACACACTTTTTTTAAATGGTTAAGTCCACCCAGCAAGGCTCTGTAACAAGGTGAGTAGTGTAGGAGGGGGCATTCAAACCTACGTAGGCTAAAGGGATGGCAAACTCTCTATTTCCCTTGCTGGGTCTAGAGCAGCCTGGTGTTTATGCCACGTTCCTAGCCTGAGGAACTAAAGATGAGACCCAGATGTCACATGGCATTGCAGAATGGAGATGATAATATTGCTGTAACATGGTGACTTCCCTCACTCGGAACTTAAAGAGCTGGTGAAAAGTTGGCTTCAGCTTGGAAAGACTCCTGCTTAAAAAATAAATCTGACAATAACAGCACACAGTGATTAAAGAACAAGGATGACATGCAATGAAAAGAGTTGTCTGGTCCTCTGTAATACCGAAGATTGGGGAAGGAAGGAATGTGGATCCCCAAACCATCAGAGTATCCGCCAGAGGGCAAAGTTGGAAACAACAAAGTAGTGAAACAACAAGAGCCATGTTATTACATTGTAGGCTGATGCTTTGGCCTTAGTTTCTACAGTGAATGGGATATTTTCTGG